ACCCCTGTTCCCATAGTCCGATCATGCTGATTCCCGAACTCGTTCGAATAAATGTAGGTTTACACGTTTGTACCAAATTTCATCAAAATAGGATCATTTTTCCTCGAGTTATCGTGCTGACGGACACATATATATATATATATATATATATATGAATTTGAACGGATGGTGTTTTTGGCCTCTAGGGACCTCAAAACAAAAAAGTAAATTGGTCCCGGGTCCAGGTCTTACCATGAGTACTACGGTAATTTATTCCCTATATGGGAAATTCGCTAAAATGTGGTCCATCTAAAAATACACATTTTTTGTGTTTATCATTTTTCTCTAAGCCCAACGGTCTTTGAGTTATTTATGATTAAGTATATTTAGTTTTTTTTTTTTTTTTTTTTAAATAGGCGAAACCCATGGAAATCGACGGTTACTTTCAAGGTTCACAACAATTCATCCCATTTAGTTAAATATATTGTGATACTATAAAATTTTAAAATTTAACTTTATTTAATGAGTAAAACATTTCCACCACAGCTAACCTGCAGACTCAGCAAATTTCCATTTGATTGATTGGATGTTTTATTAAATGTAGATAAATAAAAATTAGGTTTAACAGGTACTTAGGTTTGCTGCTACAGGGAGGGTAATATGGTGTGATTTTTTAGTAAAATATATCAATAACTTTGTATAAAATAAACTAATTTTCCAAGTTTGATCATAATAAATCTATAAACTAGCAAACTAAAACAGTTTACTTATTCATAAGAATAGCTGGGAGTTTTAATTTACAAATTTAAATTTACAAATTTGGTTGTGTTTAATAAAAAGATGGTGATTCTTCGTCAAGGTTCGAATAGAACCAAAAGGGTTTTCAAAAGGAGATGTTAATTTATTGAATGGGTAAAAATTAGGATAAAATAATAATATGACTATTACTGTAAGTTCTTTACAAAATATGGTTGAATACCTCAATGCATACAATATTTTCGGTACTTGGTTCGAGTTAATATTATTTCAATAACTTGATCCATCTCCTTCTGAAAACGCCTTCGGTTAGTATTTGAATCTTGACGCAGAATCACCATCTTTTTAGTAAACACAACCAAAATTTGTAAATTTAAATGTGTAAATTGTAAATTTAAAACTCCCAGCTATTTTTATGAATAGGTAAACTGTTGTAGTTTCCTTGTTTATAGATTTATTATGATCAAACTTGGAAAATTAGTTTATATAGGTCCAGGTCTTACCATGAGTACTACGGTAGCTTATTCCCTATAATGGGAAATTCGCTAAAAACGTTTTCAATTGTTTATACAATTTGGATTTGTCTAATGTGAGATTATTCGTCACATATACTAGATATTAGCAACACATTCTCGAGGTAAGTTGTGATACGATTTTGAAATGGTTTAATCTGTGAAAAACCAACATTATTCTTAATGGTATTTATATATGGATAAGCTCCATCATTGTTTCATAAACCAGCGATGGTAAGCTGATAAATTGTAAACATAAGATTCCAGATTCACAACCTAGCGTCCTAGGATGTGATGTCATTGGGACAAAACGTCCTACCAAGACCAAGTTATTGATATTTTACTAAAAAAAAGCAGCAAACCTAGGTACCTGTTAAACCTAATTTTTATTTATATATTTAATAAAACATCCAATCAGTCAAATGGAAATTTAATGAGTCTGCAGGTTAGCTGTGGCGGAGCTGTTTTACTGATTTAAAATTTTAAGATTTTATAGTATCACACTATTTATTAAATGGGATGAGTTGTCGTGAACTTTGAAAGTAACCGTCGATTTCCATGGGTTTCGCCTATTTTTTATAAATAAAAAAATATACTTAATCATAAATAACTCAAAAACCGGTGGGTTTGGAGAAAAATTATAAACACAAAAAATGTGTAGGCCTATCATGGACCTCATTTTGTATTTTAGATTTTTCCTGTATCTCTAATAATAAAGTCACTAGCCAGCCAAAAATACAGAAATATGCCGCCATTTTCCAATATGGCGGCCATAGCACAGCTTCAATTTTAGGGGACTTTTAGTAGGTTCAAAAAGGAAGGTACCGTACACCCAACATCTGTACCAAATTCCCCGCTTGTGCTATTCTTTTTAGGTTTATGGGATTTTTTGCTTATTTTTACTGCACTATAAGGTTAACATGGGAAACTCCAGAGTCACTGGGGCGGAGCCTGAAAGGAGTTTTGAGATAACAATTTGCCTATATGTTAATTGGGAATGCGAGCTATCATTACCCCAAATTTCAGCCCAATCCGACCAGTATTTTTGGGTTTACTTGTCACAAATATCCATACATACATCCAAACTTTCTCATCTATATATATAATTCCGTAAGTCAAATTTTTGTAAAGAAATTGTGAGTGACTGGATGGCCGTAGAAGGATGGGAGGGGTCTTATTTTAAAGGTCTTGACGTGAATTTTGAGGGAAAACTATTCATTTTTCTTATTTTTTTACCATAAATTCGCAACAGAATAAAACTTTTCCCATTAAAACAACATGGGGTTTAATTTGTTTACATCTTTTGAAATTAAAACAACTGTGCCACAGATTTGAAAACAGTGATCAATACACGCATTAGGTTTACTTTTAGCCAGTCAACTATGAAATGTATACTATAATAAAACTGAAATATTGAAGATTAGTCGGAAAAACGTCTGCATTCTTTTTTTATATTTAAATCATATACTCAAGTTTCATTTTTTCATGCTTTTACGTTATTGTCGTGTTAAAGGAATAAACAACATAGAATAAATATTCTGTATAAATAATCAAAGAGTCGAAATTAAATCTTACTTCTGTTTTGTTTTTATTTTTAAATCATATGTTCAAGTTTATTTTAAATGATGTTGTTTTCTTTATATTTCGACACATTTTAAGGTTAAGGTTGTGTGAATATATACAACTAAAATAACCTATAAATGTTATTGGTTCTAAAATGGTGTATTTGCATTCCTTCGTAAGTAATTTTTTTTAGTGCAGTGAATATACAACGTAGAGTAATCATATTCGATCATACTTTTATAAAATCACCAGGGATTCAAGATGGTATGTAGGCTGCTGGATATATATTCTTTTCATTATAAGTACTGTAATTAATATGAACGCCAGGGGAATACCACAAAGGCGGGGAACTGTTCATAGGAATGACAGTGCGCGTAGGAGAGCAAGAGTAGATAATGACGAACTTATTGTTACAACCCCTTTTTAGGAGACCCATGGTAGACGAGAGAAATGTAAAGATCCATGATGCAGGATTATTGGACCAAGAGTGTAGAGTGCATTCAATGTAGTGCTCTTCATTTTAGAGAAGAACTAACGAATAATCATTTTATGACATGTTGCCATAACGGACTTATTAACCTTCCTCAGTCAAAAACTAATGTAGAACTTAAAAGTTTGTTTGAAGAGAGCCCACAACTGTATAAATTCATTCGACAATGCAACAGTGCGATGGCTTTTGCTTATTTTTCAGCCAGTAAGAAAGATATTCCAGGAAAAGGACCATACTGTTTCAAAATTCAAGGACAGATTTATCGTTCAATCTCAGATTTGCTGCCTCAACATGATGTGTATATGGCCAATTGTACATTATTGACACATCAACAGCAACAGAAATTCGTCAAAGGCGTCGAGAAAATAGTGACTTAAAACCTGAAATATTGTCAAAACTAGCTGAAACTCTATTAGAAAATCCATTTGCACAAATTTACAAAAGAGCTTCGGAAGAAATTGTTGTACAAGGTGACAGTGAATTAGAACTTAGGTTTGTAGACAGGATAAATATGGATCGTCGTAGGTATAATAAGCCTACTGCAGATGAAATTGCAGGCGTCTTCAATTCATCTGAAGGCGAACCTCCAATGAATTTTTAAAATTCCAAACAGGGAAGCTTTTATTTATCCTCATTAACCACAAGACCAAAGCTACCTTAGTAAACCAGTATTTATTCACAAACAATGATATGTTTGCTGCCTTTTCATGTTAAACCACTGGAGTGATTCAAATTATTTATTGAAAATGACATCAACAAAAGCAAACAAAGAAGAACAACAAACTGGTTTTTACACAAAAGATATGGTGTAGGGATGCCTATTCTGACACATAGATAATGTTATTCTGAGTTTGTTTAAATACCGGTATTGCAAAAAGTTGTTTTACATTTGAGCTTTTTAGGGACTTATGTCCCTACAAGCCACTAGTTTATAATATTAGTAGGATTGATTAAATTTGAATTGAAGTGTTCTCATACATAGGGTTTCACGTTAGCTGCATGATAAATCGATACAAGATCATAACCTAGATACAAGAGATATAGGCCTAAGTAACAAAGTTATATACTTATCTAAACTAGCATATAGTTGTGTTACACATAACATCAAATGATGACATGTCTATGAAGCGTATAAGTAAGAATAATTTTAAAATTAAATAGGTTAAAACTGGTATCATTGATATGCATTGTTTGGGTACAATCATTTATTATATTTGTCCACTACATGTATTTAAAATACACTCTAGCTAGATGATAAGATACTATGAAGAAGGTAAATAATTAAATAAAAATAGTAAAATGTGAATTTTACAGATATTGGACAAAGAAAATATTTGTAAGCTTGATGTAGCATCAGTGCAGTGGTCAGTTAATTTTCAACTTTACTCTGCAAGTAAAAAAAAAATACTAGTTTTCTGTCATATTACAGAAAGGCCCCCTAAGGCCCCCTAAATAATAAATAGATCCCCTAAGGTATTTATTAATTTTCTTTGCAAATGGTACCTAAACCAAAATAAATTTTGAACAATACTATTCTGGGATATAGAATGAATTTCGCAAATGAATTTTATTTGATTGTTAAAAAAAAACTAAATATACAACCCAACTGGTTATCAGAAGGTAAAGACGCATTTTTTGAATCTATTGATCAGGTAGTGGACAGGAGTTAATGCAATAACCACATAAGGCTTCAACTCCCACATCAGTATCCAACTGACATGGGACTCTTCAGTTATGGTGAGTTTGAAATTATATATTTTTTAAATTGTTTAATAAAAAAGAAAATAAGCTTCTGTTAGGTTGGATGAAATGTCCTTTTTACTTTCTCCCCCTATACCATAGTATATGGAAAAAGTGTTGTTTTTGTCAATATTTTTGAGTTTGATTTTTGAATGGGGAAAAATCAAACCCATAAAAAAACGGAAAAATCTGATTTTCTCAAAAATGGCCCGAACAATTTTGATTAAAATGTAGTGTGTTGTATCCCTTTAAATTCTGAACAAAATGGCATTGCTCCCATTTCTGTAAAAATCACAGCTCAAAAGTTATTGTAAATTATGTTATTTTCCCATAAAAACCCATAAAATAAGAGTAAATAGTATTTTCTAAAAAAAGACGGTTTTGATTGAAATTCACCTGTAATACTGGTGTGCTTGTCCTTATAATTCTAAACAAAATAGTGTAACCCCCATTCCTGTAAAAATTACGGCTAATAAGTTAATGCAACTTTTGTGATTTTACCTATTAAATATAATATCTCATTGCTTACCTATGATAAAGGTTGTTGACATTCTAATGCAAGAAAGTAAGTGTCAGATTGCTGATACCGTTTATTTGATAAATGCATAAATAAGTTCGTGATTTGTCATCAATTTTGTTTTTTTCGCTACCTACGCAATAAAATTTAATCTATAAAATATCATTTAGATAATTTATTTTTATTTCCAAACTACACTCTAAAGTCTAAACATAAGCTGTAAGCAATTACTTTAAATGCCAGTATTTCAATAGTGAGAAGCTTCATACACTTTGACAGTCATGGTTATAAACACTATTTTGCTAGACATAAAAAAAATTTATGTACTTTATTATTTTTCAGGAAATAATAAAATATAAAAATCCCTCCATTAATTGTTCAAAATTTACAAGATTAAAAATATTCTTAAAGTTTTTTTTTTATCATGTAGAATGAATAAACGATACGGTACTAAATATAACAATAATTTGTTAAAGAAATCAGACAAACTTAATAGTTTTTACTGATATTCTTATCAAGTTACAGCAAAATTATTTTCAATTTTAAATTATTTTAAAATTTAATGTTAGGTTCAGTAATATTTAAAAAGCTGTTTAAAAAAATGTTGAATTGGTACACTAAATTCTAAAACATATTTTTTTACATTGGCTCGTAATGTAATTAATTGTATGACAACCTTTCATGATAAATCATGAACTCTGCACAAACTCTGAAATTTTAAAAGCCTCTAGGAGGAAGGGCTTTCACTTTGATATCATCCAAACCGGCAAAAGGCACATCTAGAGGACAAAGCTTTAAATTACCCAAAAAAGCATATAAAAATAATTAATTAAGGGTAGATTTGCTGAATATAAAAATCCAACAACTTTTTCTTTAAATATATATTCACAGAAATCGACTCCTGCATCAGACGTTTCCTTCTCTAAAACCATATTGTTCTTTATCTATTCAATTATTTTCCCCTAAGAATTTTGAAAGTTGTATATGCATAAATCGCTAAAACATTTTTGATAACGAGCATATTATTAGCATACTATAGCACCATTTCATGAGATAGGCCTCTGTAATTACACATTTTCTCTGGTTTATCATTTTTACTAGGATTACTTTAATATCAGTAAAAGCCATAGTTGAGCGAAGCGATCACCTTTCATGGTTTTTAATAAAGCACTAAATTAAAGCAATGGTTATAGATGATATACAACTATTTCATCAATTTAACTTATCAGTTTGTCTCATAACTATCAACATCTAAATATATTTTGACATATCTAAGCATATTTTACACTTGGCACTTTTCATTAAAAACAACCTTTATTTATTTGAAAACTGTAAAAAAACTCGTAGTTATGAAACTAGACACAAACAACTTTTGGAAATTCCAAGCCACAGATTTAGCTTTGTTTCACAATGGGCCCTATTATCAATGCATATACATGTCTACAACAAATTGTCCTTTTATTTCACAGACCAGTCTTTGAGCCTTAATAATTTTAAAAGAAACTTTCAGAAAAACTGATTGCACTTTGTCCTTATGACATGAATTCATTTTTATCCTGTCAACTGTAATCTTAATATTTGTATATATTTATCATGTGTAAACTATTTTTAATGCATGATTTGTATACTGACATGTCACATATTCATTGCTGATATTCAGCCTCAGTATTATGAATTTTTGTGATGAATAAATTGATTTGATTTGATTTGATCTATAACAAGTTTCATAAGTAAAGATGTGGACATTACATACAAAATACTGGTGAACTACAGTTCTCGTTGAACCCGACCAAACAACATTTTCTCAATCTTGGCCATATTTGGCAATTCAGGGAGAAATAATCTTGCATGTATGATTAGCAGATGTAATTTTTTAAAGACTTGCCTGCTTTCATAGAATTTCACATATAGTTTTACCATAGCTTATAAGGTCTGTTTTATTAAATGTTCTACATTCAACACGTTAAAAGCACTGTTTTCATTTCAAGCAAGTGTTCTACATTCAATTATCTCAAAACATTGCCAGAAGTAGTTGTTTGTGCGTTGTTCTTACCGTACATAGTAGACTAGATTTCCCAACACTGTTATGTACATAAAACGATGCTGGCGACCATAACCTCTTGAATTATTCTCCCAAGTGGAGATGTTTAGGGATAATCTAAGCAAAACTACGACGAAAAACGAATTTAAACTATAAAATAATCAAATGTATTTCTCATTAATGTTTTCATGACAAGGAGCAATATTGGACAACAAAACAGACAGCTGATAGTAAAAACAACATTCATATCATCTGTATGACTATTACAAATAAATAGAAAAGGCAGGCATTTTCAACACTTAGGCTTACTTACTTGGGCAATTATATACCCCAAGTCATTGCCAAAATGCTGATCAATACAACATGCCGATCAAGTGTGTTGCCAACAAGATAGTATCATAAAAATATTTCAAATTTTACAAGAGGTTGGGAAGTATAGAATGCATTATTTAAACTCAGTGGTAGTCCGCGCGTTTTGTTGATAATTATTTACATAAACTTAACAATATGCTTTGTTAGTTAAAACAACTTATGAAAATAGTTAGTGTAACTCTCATTTAAACAAGATATACATATATATCAAATACATGTGGTTATATTTAGTCGACATTGGTACACTCAAACGTTTCCACATTAAATTTCACAATTTTATTTCACAAAGTTTACTTTCACTGTTTAAAGTAAACTAGTGGTCGTCCAATGGTCAGAAACTCCACCAAAAATATGCCTATAGACTCTATTTTCAAGCTATTCCAGACTCTATATTCCACACTGGTAAATAAAACTTGATAGAAATTTCTTCCCTTTGTTTTGATTTTCTGTTTATATTTCGTAGTTATTTCGTCACCAGCAAGGCAACCCATAAGGCCCATGTAATTGATATATTAATTTGAAACTGTTTTTCTTTGTCACAGCTATTTTGAGAGAACGGCTGGGCGTAGAAACTCAGTAGAGCTGTCTAAAGAAAGGTCTTGGTCTGTAGATGAGCCATCAAAAGAGAAAGATGGTGAATTCCCTTGGGGCTCTGCCCCCGTGGCCTTAAAATTCCCATCCCATGTTATTCTTATGAAGGAAAACGGGGTTTTTGTCACAGATAATTTGAGAGAACGGCTGGGTGTAAAAACTTGGTAGGGGTCTCTAAAGAAAGGTCTTGGTCTGTAGATGAGCCATCAAAAGAGGAAAGAGGTAAATTCCCTTGGGGCTCTGCCCCAGAAGCCTTTGAAGTTGCCTCTTCAGATTTGTTTACATTACGACCATATGCATAATTCTACACTACTTTTTAATGCAACAGCTGTTAATATTTAAATTGTGATTTATTGAATTATTCAAAATGAAGTACAGTATTTGCAATGGATTTTTCTGATTTTAAAATTGATTTTCTTCTGCATCGTGTCATGTTTTGCAATAGCCTATAATGTTCTATTACAAATCAGTGGAAAATCCTAATATCACAGTAACTTTTAAAATTATTTCTTTGGAGTTAACTTATATCTATTGTATGGGTGGGTTTCTGCCTTTTTAGCGAATTTCCCATATAGGGAATAAGCTATTACCGTAGTACTCATGGTAAGACCTGGACGCGGGACCGATTTTTTTTTTCGTTTTGAGGTCCCTAGAGGCCAAAAACACCTTCCGTTCAAATTCATGTATATATATATATATTTATATATATATATATTTATATATATATATATATTTATATATATATTTATATATATATATTTATATATATATATTTATATATATATATATATTTATATATATATATATATATGTGTCCGTCAGCACGATAACTCGAGCAAAAATGATCCGATTTTGATGAAATTTGGTACAAACAATAAAAAGTACGTTTATTCGAACGAGTTCGCGATCCAGCATGATCGGACCATGGGAACGGGGGTTTACGGGGGGTTTTATGGGGTAAAAATAGGTTTTTCCCATTTTTGACCCAAAAAACATAAAATTTAGCAATTTCTTTCCAAACCATTTTGTAGAGCTTAAAAAACAAATAATTTAGTATATTGAAGCGTTATTATGCGCCTAATGGTTACGGAGAAAATACCAAAAAATTGTACATTTAAAATTCCCATGTTATTCTTATGGAGAATAAGTAAACTGTTGTAGTTTGCTTGTTTGTGAACATATTTTGATCAAATTTGGAAAATGTTTTTATTTCTTACTAACTATTCACATTTTACAAAAAAAAAAAAAAAAACAGTTTTACCCTCCTTGATGCAGCAAACCTAAGTACTTGTTAAACTAATTCTATTTAAATCAAGAATAAATGTTATATTTTTAAGTAGACATTTCAGTGTAAATCCAATCAGTCAAATGGAAATTCGCTTAGTCTGCAGGTTTGCTGCGGCGGGGGTATTTACCACTTCTTGGAGATTGTACGTAGGTGATATTCTTTGGCATATTGCACATGTAGACGAAACTTGGGTTGGTGTACTTATTACAATGGAAAAACCGAGAAATCTTGGACAATTTGATATAGGCTAAAAATAAAACTGATTTAACACTGTGCTACATTTCTTGAGCAATCATTGAAATAACCGATTTGCAAACAATGGAAACATAGAAAAAGTCATAGAACACAACCAAGTAAAAGAAATAGAAATAATTTTTTCCTACAGTTACCTAACAATGTACATGTTCTCTCACTGACTTGAGAAAGCAAAGTGGCCAATTCGCTCATCAGTGAGACAATGTTAACTTTGTCTCACTCTAATTACTTTGTCTCACTCCAGATTTGCAACGTGAAGGCACGAAATAGTGAGCGCGTAACATGCAGGCAACGTCGTATGCACGCGAAATACGTTGGCAGCACTGCTGGCTGTAAATCAGCTGGTCAGCTGTTGTACTGTTGTATTTGTCACTTCACATAAAATTTTATATTAAATGTTCACTTCTGTGTAAAAATAGGTTATGTTTCTTCACCAATTTATTTGTTTTAGGTAACTGTAGGAAAAGTATAATGTGCAACTCGAGTTCAAAGTACAATTGCCTCACTCGAGAAACCATTCCTCACTCGCCTACGGCTCGTGAGTAAGGATTTCTCTCGAGTGAGTCAATTGCTCACTTTTCTCACTAGTTGCACAAATAACTATTTTTTACACTTAAAAACACTAAAAAAACAAGATAAGCTTTTTGAAAAAAGATAAGATATTTACAACAGATTTTGATTATATCTAACTGTTGTGTAGATCGTGAGTATTTCCATAATCTTTGAGTTGCCTGTAATGCTTCGCATTACAATTTAAAATTTTAAAACACAGGTACACTAGTGTTTTAAAATTTTAAATTCATTTTTTGTGCTTATTACTTTTGAGCCCTCCTTTTAATTTATAAAGGGATTCTGTACATCTACAGGCAAATATCTTTCCAACAATGCGCAGATTTCCCCTGCAATATGCACACAAGCTGAGAAAAAAGGTTTTAAAGAAACATGCTTCCCTAAAACTGCTGATTCATGTAGTTGTTTTAATTCCCAATCACATCACATCCTTATACATATAATACGTGAAGGCAATTTCTATGAAACGCTACTCCTCCGTTAATAATGGACGGATTTTTACAAAACGATGTGTCAAAACGAACTATGGTTTGTTTAGATGCCCCCTTTCACCAATTCCTGTAATAAAAGTCCTCGGGCTTTGCCCCACAGGCCATCAAAATCCCAATGTATTTCTTATGAGTAAAAGATTTTGTTTACTTAAACAGACGAATAATTTGTATAAATTACAGCTGTTCATAGTAAACACATATGAGACACACAAGAGCATTCGTTTTCAGTTTTGATAACTGGAGTGGAGTGATTGATTACATTGTCTTTGAGTTTACTCTTTGAAGTCATCGGAAATTATGACTGTTATTCATTTTGAAATAACGCCCGTAATACTTTGCAATTGATCGAATTCGAGCAACAGGTGTACTAGTAAGATAAAATATTATTTGTTACTAGCAGAGCACCCGTCCTTTGTACGGGGTTGGCGTATAAGTATAAAATGCTTATTGCAGTTATACTTGTGCTTAGCGTTTGCAATGAAAGAGGACACGTTTGAAGAACATTTGGTTTACGGTAGGCCTATATATTAATTTATGGTATACTAGTATAGCACATCTCTACCATAGCTATAATGTTCTACCACTGCACCTAAGCAACAGAAATAAGTAAAGTTCTCACAGCTTTCTTCTTGGTTCAAATTACCTGTTGTCATAAATGAAAAAATAATTAACAGTGCTGGAGTGCTGCACCTTGTTGGTAAATCGTATAACTACTTAATGCTATTGAATATCATAGAACCAACTTGTGTAGTTGAAACAGCTTGTCAAAATTCTTTAATTCCATTTAAATATGAATACTCATGGTTAACATGGGAAACTCTAAAGCCTCTCTGGGGCGGAGCCCGAAAGGATTTTTCACATAAGAATAGTATGTCTAAATGTTAATCGGGAATGTGAGCTATCATCATACCAAATTTCAACCCAATCCACTGAACTTCAAATAAACAAACACACAAATTTTCACATTTATAATATTAGTATGATGATATGATAACCTAATTTAGATTACCAGGGGTCCGAGCATTGCTCGGGGTGTTTAATTTGTTCAAGAGATTAAAAAATTAAATATAGGCTTACAAATGTACGATTTCCATGATAGTATAAAATACAGTCAAAGATATGAAATATAGTGATGTGGGCCGGGTAAATACCCAGTGGGTAGGTAAATTTAAATTGGGTATTTACCCCAGGCCCGGGTAAATACCCAAAAACTGGGTATTTATAATTTTTATTAAAGTTAGAGAAGATTGAGAAGTTTTTTTGGAATTATTACCCTGTAAGGATAGTAAAATGATGATAAAATGTGTTTAACAAAATTTCATATGGTCACTACTAGCATTTTACTTCTGGGTATAATCGCCATAAATACCCAGGTCTGAGCATAAAGCATAATCAGCATAAATACCCTGGTCGCATGGTTGCACTGGTCCTGACTACTTATGATTTTTTATTTTCTATGATAGATAGATGAATTTATTTTATTGAAAGTGAAGAAAAATAATTTGCAAAGTAATAATTATTATTTAGAAAAACAGGAAAATTTAACCTAGTAGTGGCTTATGTTTAAACAACTTAAGAAAATAATTAAAATTCAATCTGTAGGATGGCAGGTTTTAATAATAGGTATTTTTGTTCTAGATCTTTTGTTGGTATCAGTGGTATCAAAATAAAAAAAACTAATTTCATAAACTTGTGATACAAAACATTTGATTCTATAGCACAATAAATCATTCAAAAAGGAGGTACATTTTTTTAGTATGTTTATCCAAATATATTATTGTTTCCAACTAAGTGGTAACACAGAAAAGTTTAATTAGGTACTTTTAGTATTCTGCCATTCTGCCTATGTCAATCAGGCCTTAGGTCTGTCTAGCCTTCCAAGCCATTTATACAATAAAAATTTTAACTATCATAATTTAATAACAGTAAAAGTAGGTTTAGGTTCACTATTTCTCTGATGAGTTGTTGTCTTGATTTCATTTCATAGGGAGTGTTTAGTTTCTATCATTCTCAATGATAAAAATTGAAATAGCCACAGCCTTTTTTAATATACAATTTTTTAGTAAGTTAAATTTAACTGATGTTACTCGATTTAAGACACGAAACCCCATGCTTATTTAGAAACTTTATGTGTTATAAAAAAAGTGCTAAATCATAAAATAAAAGGTACTAGCAAAGCTTCAAGTTATCTAATACTCCAAATTTAAATCATATATTTCTATATACATTACATTTCCTACTGTCATCACTTTTAATATGAATGAATAAATGAGAGCCAGAAGATATTATAGTCATCTCATCTTTGCTCTCTGTTGTTTGCCAGCTGTGGCGGCATGGTTAGTGAGCCATGCTGTAGCAGGCCCAGTGAGACAGGATGATATATGTGGAGTCACCAATGGTCGCAGGCTCTACCTGGAGCAGGGGGAGAGGGGGGTGTTGACTGCCAGAAACATCTCTACCAGCCTTCGTCATCAACAGGTAACAGGACCATCTGTAGACCACTCTGAGCTACTGTACTGTCAAAAGCCTATTGCCTCGATCCTTAGTTACTCTGATGCTATATTGGTGTAAGTTGACCGTTCAGTTTGGCTTGGTTAAAAAAATTCATGTAATGAACAGAAATTAAATAAGTAATAGAAAACAGCACACACTCTCAGTGTGTGAATCCAACAGCATTTATTTTTAGCCTATATTGAAAAAGTTATAGTTACGATCCTGTGAAAAGTAAAATCTTTTTGATGGTTTAAAACCGGACCCGGCTGTCCTTAATCATTGGGATTTTTGATCTTGGCTAAAGAAGAACCATCTGATCTTAGTAATAAAGGTATCATCTCTTTTTCCCTATAGGGAAGTAGGTAGCTATTACTGTAGGTCTCATGGTAAGACTTGAGCCCGGGACTGATTTACTTTTTCATTTTGATGTCCCTAAAAGGCCAAAAACACTATTCGTTCAAATTTGTATACAGGGTGTCCATAAAAAACGTTTCAGGACTTTGGGAAATGAATACTAAAAGGAAGAAAAAAGTTTATGTGAAGGTATGTCCAAAAATGCATATTTACCCAGTTATCCGCCATTTTGTTTTTTATACCAAAATATTTTTAACTGTGAAGTTTTTCATTCAATGATTATGAAATTTGGTAACCATGTTAACATAGACAAAACCTATAATAGAAAAATAATAAAGTTGTTCCGATTGTAAATTTCAAAATGGCGGCTGTTTGAATTTTTCTAACGTAAATAACTCAAAAACGGCTAGTTGTATGAAAAAATGTCAAGAATACTTTCTTTTAGTGTAGAATACGTTTTTTGTGTAGAAATAAGGCAAAGGTAGTCAGAGAACCCTTAATTTTGCCTTATTTTTATTTTTATTCATATCTCAGTTATCTTTTGTCCGATCCTGTTGATCTTGGTATCTTTTGATAATGAATTAAAAATGCTAAAATAAAGTATTCCTGACATGTTTTCATACAATTAGCCGTTTTTGAGTTATTTGAGTTAGAGAAATTGAAACAGCCGCCATTTTGAAATTTACAATCGGAACAACTTTATTATTTTTTCTATTATAGGTCTTGTTTATGTTAACATGGTTACCAAATTTCCTAATCATCGAATGAAAAACTTCACAGTTAAAAATATTTTGGTATAAATAACAAAACGGCGGATAACTGGGTAAATATGCATTTTTAGACATCAGGGCATATTTTAAGGAATTTTCACTGGGCGACATTTCCCGGGGGTCTGGGGGCTATGGAATCCCCCCCAGAAAATTTTTTAGTTATGTTAGTTTTTAGTGTTATGTTAGTGATATGAAAACCGCACATTTTTACGCATCTTTTGATGATTTTTCCTATTATATTTGCTTTATAAAAGTCCATATAATTTCACTTAATCACGTGTTTTACAATGACTTAACAGGCCAAGGCTCTCTTCACAACCTCTTGGGCAAAAATCATTGCTCAATTTCAAAAGTGTACTACTACAAACATTAAACAATTTGTAAACACAAACATGTTTAAAATATCTACGTAAACCTAAAACAAAACTACAATATAAATTTCCATTTTTTATTTTTAGACAGGGAAAAATCATAATCGTAATTATTAATTGTTACGGATTTATGTATAAGTAGCCTATGATACAAAATTATCTGTAATGATAATTATGATTATGATTTTTTACCAGTCATAAAATAAAAAGCGTAAATCTTTTAACGTATATTTCCTCAATTTACAATTTTCGCATAAAAAAAACATTTAACAGTAATTTTCTACTTTCATTAGTGAGATTTTAAAAAAATCCAATTCTTTTATAAATGTTTTATTGCACACAACAAACAATCGTCAGGAAATACTTTGAAAATAACACAAAGATTTAAAGAGTAATAAAATTACTAAGATTTCATCAATACTTTTTACAAAGAAATAAGTAGCTTTCTGATTAAAAGAATTGAAGAAGAACATTGAATTTAAAGGTTACTGTTTAAAGGTTACTGTACTGAATTTAAAGGTTACTTTACTAGTCACACCGATGATGCAGCTCATTCAGCGTAGCCTAAAAAGTAAACATAAACAAGCCGAGGTCTGTGTCAGCAGTTGAGGGAGGAAGGGAGGGGGGAATCAAGTAGTGACCATGGTAGTGACATGAAAATCAGTACAGACCGCATCGCTATCTTATCTTATCTGCTTCCCCTCCCCCTCCACAGCACACATGCACTCGTCCATCCTTTGTCAGCCTGCCAACCAGACTGGTTCAACCAGTCTTTCTCTCTCTCTCTCTCTCTCTCTCTCTCTCTGGCTTGTTTAAAATCAGAAAAAGCGTGGCAGTTTCATGTTAATCACTTGTTTACTTAACGGAAGAAGTTGAGAACACTCTAAAATATTTACACAATGTTATTTTTTTTACTTTTATAATCCCGATACATGTGAGTCATTAAAAGAAATATGCCCGCACTACCCATAATGCTATGGGCGACAAAATGGCCACATACAGATTGGCCAATGGTTTAAGGGTAGTTTCTAACATACAGATTGACCAAAGGTCCTAATGAGCAGGGGCAAAAAATGGGGGCGGAGCTTACAGCAGCGATGTCCCGTGGAGGAGGAGCTTGGCTATTCAAGTCAAGTGTTTGTTAACTTTTTCTACCAGTCACAGAGGTGGCCAAACTCAGGAGACGAATTTTACTTTTTAAAACGCTAAGTTTTATGTAAACTGTTAAGTAAACAAATGAGGTTTTTACATTCAACTGTAGCTTAAACAAAACAGTGCGGCATTCTAATACAAATAATAGGCTATAAAATCTAACTAATTGCTTATTAACTCACTATCAATTTCTTTTCAAGTACACAAAGTACATTTTTTGGGAGGTCGAGTTGGTTACGAAATTGTTAGTTTGTTTGACCTAGTTATAGCAATAAGGATAATGTTACCATTTAAAAGTCCTGAAGTGTTCTTTCAAGATTCAAAACATAAGCATTCACGTTTTTATGTGTATACCCATTGTTTGAAAATTACCTTGAATATCTGTCTTAGTATTTCGCACACGATGTTCATTTTTAAGTTCACAAAACCAATCTAGCAATATTCATTATAGGAGTAGTATTTTAACAAAAGTTAAAAAAAAGGAAAAAGATATTCCATTGGAAGTGAAATAACCTGAACTAGTGTACATGTTGCTCAAATTCGAGCAATTGCAAAGTATTACAGGAGTTATTTCAAAACGAATACCGTAACAGTCATATTTACAATGAGTTTTAAAAGAGTCAACTCAAAGATTACCGGTGTGTAACTCAGACCATGTTTATCTTCGTTATTGATAAACCTAAAGCATTCCGGCCGGTTTTCTCCTTCTCAAAATGCCTCGCTGTACAGGCAACACAGGTACATAGAGGATTGATAGAGGGCCAATTGAGAACGAAAAGTCGTTTTGGGGTTGTGTTAGGGCGCATTTGTAACCTAATAGTTGAGATTGTCCAGGGTCAGGTGCTGACTGTTAAGCCTATTACGCGCCACTGTTCTGTAGCTGCGGTCGTTATCACGATTACGCCTCCTGTCTATATGTGTCGTTGTATTCGCGTCGGAGGCATTTAAAAGAATAAAACAACAAATAAACAAATTATAGCTACACAAAACAACGATAAATGCACAAATTTAAGTTACAATCATGCTAACACGATCCGTCATAGCGACACAAAACAACGATAAATACACAAATTTAAGATATACAACCATACTTAAACGCTCTGTCTTGGGGGTTATGTTTACACAAACTCAAATAGTAAATAAATGTACTCAATGCGTTTCATTGAATTGAAAAATAAATAACAGCAATTAAATAATACAGCTGATCAAAATGTAAACAATTAAGTTCTCCATAAGGATAACATGGGAACTTTCAAAGCCACTGGAGCAGAGCCCAAGGGACTTTTAAATAAATGTAAGGCCAGTTTGCAAATCTACGCAACACACTCTTTCCAATGAGACGTCAATGGATAAAATCGGTTCAGAAATGGCAGAGGAGTTCAACCGACAAAGTTTCATGTAGCGTATGAATTATATAGATAAAATGTTCTACCACAGAGTATAAAAATATACTCACTTATTCAACATTTACGTAAACCAAAAATTAAAATTCTAAACATAAAATAATTCTTAACGTTTTGCCTTAAAATCCTGAAATAAATAATAATTTGTTATTAATATTCAGTCAGCTACATTTTCAGTTGCCGCTAAAAGAAAATAATAACTCCAAATTTGAGGTATTATTCCGTTTGGATGATATCCTGTGAAAGCATATAATGTCGTTATATTAGCTTTTAAAATTGCATAGTTTGTGCTGAATTATGTTGTCAATCATCTGAACTTGTTCAAGTTTACAATGAAATTTTGTTTACATCAAAACATATGTCCATAGTACAATTTTGTTTACATCCATACGAAAATTGGGTTATCTGTAAGTCGGTGATGTTTAAGTTAAATCAAGAAAATTTTGTATTATCTATACTACGGTATTATATAAAAATCAAATGGTGTCTGTCTGTATGTGTAATAATTAGTATTTTTGCAACTTCAAAATTGAAATTTAAAAATGTCAATAATAAATTAAAAGATATTTAATTAAGGGAGATGAAGGTAAAACATGTATGTCAAAGTTGTATTCGAAGATTTTGTCAAGTTTTCTCATATCAGTCTACACAAGATTTTAAATTAATCAAAACCAAAATGGTGCTATCCACTACTTCCCAGATTTAAAATTTATAACTTTAACTTTTCTATTAAGGCCATAAAAGTTGAATTTTGATTCTAAAAGCGTTTGCGGATGTGTAACTATTATATGCAACAGATGTAAAGATTAAAATGTTTCTATTTTGTGTCCTTTTCCCGTTGCAAAGCACGGGTACAACAGCTAGTTTTGTATAAAATGTAAAGAAGAAAATGGTTTACGTTAGATTTTTTGTTTTCATAGCATGTGTCATTAGTA